ATCCATCCATCCGTCCGTCCGTCCGTCCGTCCGTCCGTCCATCCATCCATCTATCTATCTATGTATATATCTATCAATCCATTTATCCATCCATCCATCCATCCGTCCGTCCGTCCGTCCGTCCGTCCGTCCATCCATCCATTCGTCCATCTATCCATCCATCCACCCATCCATCCAGCCATCCACCCAAACCATGTATATTTCAGCCTATTTCTCTGGATTGTAATTATGTATGGAAAAACGGCTAGGGAACATGATTGATTAAATGTTTAAGTTAATGTTTGCGTCCACGTTTATTAAGTTACGCATAATAAGTCGTAGGTAGAATAAGAATAGTAAACACGCGATTCTTATTATTCTGTTTTGGCGTCACGTGTCGTAGTCTTTTTTCCTTAGAATTTGTTTCTCATCATTTTACATATAACAAAACACGCACAGACGCGCGCACGTACGCACCCGCACGCATACTCACATTGCATACATTATATTATACGATTTTATTTTATATTGTATTGTATGACGTTATAGTATATAGCTTCAATTACGTCACTATCTTGGTTTAGAGATCGGGGAACGACATCATCATCATCATCTGTCGTCCGTGAACGGAATGGAGGAAGCATCGCGACAATGGAGTGGGGAACGACAAGCATGTGTTATATAACTCGATTGTAGATTATATTCAAATAGTTTAGTAGATTAATTTGATAGTTTATCAAAATTTATATAGAGCCTGCATGTAGCTTTAAAATAAAAAATAAAACGCACCGTACATGCTGCATGCGATCAAGTCACAAAAATTAAATACTCACAGCTTCATTTCAGCAAACTCCACCTATTTCATGCGATGAAAATAGATGCATGACAGTACCCGTTGCCAGATCACGTATCTTAGGGCTCAACCTGATGGAGGCGTGATCTCATACTCGGATTATGTTCTCAGTTACCAGGGCAAGTTGTTTAAGATTTAAAGCGATCTTTCTGATTAAAAAAACATATAGCAATCTTTTTGGTGAAAAAAGCATACAGCAACCTGAATAGAATGTAATTGTATTACGCGATGTGAACGAACGCAATAATTCGATTTAACCGTACGTTTCTTCGCGCCACACGTACTGCAAGACTATAAACTTGACATATTAAATTTAACACGTGATTGTCGGGATAGGATTTGACCGGTATTTATGATCCAATCGTTTCTTGTTAGAGTTCATATAAGTTTTACTATACGCAGCAGAGTAATCGCTAAAAATACAATAACTGCAGTTTCTATACGTAGTAAAAGAAATACGCAGCTACTTGTAAAATGAACGATTGTTTATAAATTTGTAAAGAGGGTTGTGGGTCCGTCATTAGTAATCCCATCCCAGCATCTCAGATCCCATTCCAAAATTAGATTCCTGTTTTTATTTTATTTTTGGAATCACAGCAATGAATGATGGAGATTAGAATTGTTGATCGATTAAAACACATCGGTAAAACAGCAAAACAATTATTTCTGAATATTTTAATAAAAATAAATAATCTTTTCATACAAACTTTACATCTGCTTGCGTCACAAGATGAACATAATTCCACTTTGCATAGACAATACAAATGTAAAAAAATCAAAGCAAGCGTCCCCGATAAGGATTCTACTAGGAACTCCTTTCAAGATAAAAACAGTAATGCTATTGGGCAATTCAAAAGGCTCCTATTTTTCAGCTTGCTAGAGTTGAAATAACAATACTACAATGGCCATCGCCAAGTTGAAATGACCTGTTTGAAATAACGAGTAGTAGTTGCAAATGGCCCACCAAGGAAGGTGCCTCATTAAAGCTAGCATAATACATAATTGTCTAATTAAGTACATACAGCACACACGCACACGCCACACGCGCGCACACATGCGAGCGTGCACACACGCGAGCGCGCACGCACGTGTAGACGCGTATGCCCTACATATATACCTGACGATATAATAGCAAAATACGGTCGAGTACTTCGATAGGAAAGGAAGTAACAAACAGTATAACAAATGCACACAAAGTGCACACATGCATGGCTCTGGCAGTGCTATTTTCCTTTTGCATGTAATGTACAGATTCAGTGCAGACAGGCAAACAAAAACAGAAAGTGATGAAACTAGAGATGAGGATAAGGGAATAAGATAAGAAGATCAGGAGAAATGAGCAAATGACAAAAAGACAGAAAGATATCAAGAGATGTGGAATGAGAGAGAGAGAGAGAGAGAGGAGGGAGAGAGAGAGAGAGAGAGAGAGAAAGCGGAAGGCGAAATAGGAGAAGGAAAACGAGCAAGAGAGAGAGAAAGAGAGAGAGTGAGAGAGAAAGAGAGAGAGAGAGAAAGAGAGAAAGAGAGAGAGAGAGAGAGAGAGAGAGAGAGAGAGAGAGATAGAGGATGCAGTGTGTGTGTGTGTGTGTGTGTGTGCGTGTGCGTGTGCGTGTGCGTGTGCGTGTGTGTGTGTGTGTGTGAGACAGCGAGAGAGAGAGAGAGAGAGCGAG